TTTTCGTGATCCTTCAATTAAATGAGGCAGTAAGTAAAATAATAACGTGTCTTTATTATCTGTAAAATAAAATAAATAAAAATTAAAAACAAATTTATTAACTCATCTAACATTAATATTCAAATATCTAATTATTTTTAATTTATATTTACTTACGTTGTAGTAAAGTTGGAAATAGATGGATATATGCGCTTTATCAGAAATGTTTTTGATAGATTTGCATTTTTGCAAATTTTTAATTAAGAAATTTCGAATAATTTAATTTTGAATTTATATAATGTAATTTTGATATATTAAATAAAAAGTGAATTTGTGTTATACTGTGTTACAATTGGATTTTAATATCAATTCATAGACAAACATAAATAATATTTAAATCTTACTTTTTCTTTTTTATTATCCATAATTGCTGTGAAAAAATATAAAAGAAACACAAAATATAAATCACTTTCATTCCAAAAATATCATATATAAATTTGATTGACACAGTATAGTGCAATTTATTCAAATAATTGTGTTATATATATTTTGTATAAAGTTAATAGAAGTAGGCTGCGTTCTATTCAACACAATGCTTGTGAAATTATTCCATCCTTGTTATCAAATAAAGTTAAATAAGGACAAACAATCCTTGTGAGCATTGTGACCGAACGTTACGATGGCCTACACAGTCAATAATACTGATCAGTAATATTGAATCAGTAATACTGACATGCTCCCACCCCTTTAATACATTCAAATAATACTGAGCGTCTTGCTTTGCAAAATAGGCGTCTACGGATGCGATAACCTCCTCATTCGATGAAAATTTCTATCCTCCGAGCCAAACTTTGAGCATAGGAAACAGAAAAATGTCGCTGGGGGCCAGATCTGGTGAATACGATGGATGGTCAATTAATTCGAACCGCAATTCGTGAATTTTTGCCGTAGCGACCGCCGAAGTGTGAGACGGTGCGTTATCTTGATGGAACAGCACTTTCTTCTTTTTCAAATGCGGTCGTTTTTTCTCAATTACTGCCTTCAGCTTGTCAAGCAATGATGTGTGGTACGTCCCTATTATTGTTTTACCTTTTTCAATATAGTCGATCAACACAATTCAATGACTGTCCCAAAAAACAGTCGCCGTCACCTTTCCCGCCGATAAAACCGTCTTCGCTTTCTTCGGAGCAGGGTCACCCTTCGCAGTCCACTGTTTTAATTGTTCTTTCGTTTCAGGAGTGAAGTGGTGGACCCAAGTTTCATCAACCGTTATTAATCGACGCAAAAAATCCGACTCGTTTCGCTTAAACCGCTCCAACAGGGCCTTAGAAATGTTCATTCGAATCCGTTTTTGATCCAGAGTGAGCAAGCGCGGCACCCAACGCGCGGTTAACTTACTCATGCTTAATTCTTCAGTCAATATGACAAACACGTTCTTTTGATATGCCAACAGCCTCTGCTATATCCCTAATCTTAATTCAACGGTTGTCCATTATCATTTGATGAATTTCTTCGATGTTATCGGTGATGGTCGCAGTTGTGTGCCATCCCGAACGCTCATCATCAGCTAAGTTGGTACGACCACGTTTAAATTCAGCTACCCATCTTTTCATGGTGGCAAATGATGGGGCAGAGTCCCCGTAAACAGCATCCAACTCGGCTTTAATTTGCGTAGAAGGTATTGCCTTTCAAATGCAAGAATTTAATTATAGCACGATATTCAATTTTTTCCATTTTTACAAAATAACGACACAAATAATTGTCAAACAAGAACTGAACGTCCAAAGTGGCCACAATTGTCACAGATATCTTTCGTAAGTATCACGATTATAATACCAGAATGGCTTTGACGAGTAACGCCATCATGAGGCTCAAAACTTTTCAGACGACTCTCGTATTTATTTTTTGTAATATTGTTGAAATAATTTTATCATTAAAAAAGGTTTTTTAACGTTATAGAAATGTTCCTTCAAAACGTTAAATAAACGCTTTTTAAATGTAAAGAAAACATCTTTTTAATTAATAAAAAAGGATCTATCCCATTAATTAAACATTTTTTAAATGTTTTTTAAACGCTTTTTGCAATAAAAAAAACCGTTTAAAAAACATTTCAGAAATATTTCTTTGCTGATTGGGGACCGCGCGGCCTGCCTTTGAGTTCGAATTTCAACTAAAGGGAACGGGCACCTAATTCGGCGCGCGACGTTATATGTTTAAATAACATACATTTTAATACCAAATTTGTCAGAGCATCTAATTTTTTAAAGCAATTTTTCTGTTGTGAACCGATTGTTCGACTGGCACCTAAGTTCTGTATATAATTCTGTATACATTATAATATATATTTTCGAAATATTTTAAGCATTCCTTGGAGCATCTAATTAGCACTTAATTCTGGTGTATTTGTTTTGTTCGTTTACACAATAAGTATTTAGTTTTTTTATTGGGAGGGCTTAATGTTAAGCTAGCCTTCCCCAATAATTTTTTTTTGCCAAACAGTTCGAGCACTTCAGCACCTAATTAGCACCTAATTAGAACCTAATTTTGAAATGTGTTAGAATTAATTTATCGCTGTGGGAGGGAGGTTAGTTTTACAGGGTTTCTAAAATATGCTGCCAGTATTAAAAAATCTACAGTGCATGTGACGTAAACTATAGATTTTCTGTACTGGCAGTAAATTTTGGATCACAGCCTTTATCATAGTGGTAAGAGACAAGTGAGATAACTTGAGGGATGCGCAGTAGAACCAAAATTTGATTGGCTATCTGATTGCTTTGAATTGCCATCATGAGCATTGTCTCACCTGTCTTTTTCCACCATGATCATAATTAGACGAAATAATTATCAATGAAGACAAACCCGTTTGGAATCCACGATATCGTCACGAACAATCGTCGACAGAGACGGCGTCGAGAATGAATTGGCCTTCGTCACCGCCATCATTATCATGGTTGTCAACGTGCTAGCGAGTAGGACCGAAAGCCAAGATTCGCCCATTCTGCGCCCTGGTCATTTGTTCTTGTAACAAAATGAAAGCTCCGAGAAGTGTTAATTTATTTAAGAATAATATTTTTCGAGGATAAGATAATTTGGTAATATCTCAAGGTAACTTCTCCGCGTAATTGATATATGAATTAAGTAAGAAATGTTACAAATAGCTAGCGGTAATTTTATACAACACAGAAATTCGATAGCTGAAAGATCGTTAGAAGGTTTTTGCTTTCGTTACGTACTATATTACCAAAATATCTTTACGCAATTATCTCACCTCCCGTGATGATATTCAAGTGGTGGCAAACCCGCAATCTTCGCTTGTAATGGGCCGCTCGTATGCCCTTGCCGGCGATCGTCCGGGCATGTTTCTATCAGTAAATCTTCAGCACTCTCAATTTTTCATCGGAGAAACTTCGTAGGTGGACACCGTCGCACCTACATTGAGAAAGAGATAACGCAAAATAGATGTTACTCTTCATCCCACATCTGTGCGTTGCTATCGAAAGCAATCAATCACAATTGATCTTTGAACTAATTAGTCGTACGATGAAACCAAGACACTCTTCTTCTCTTTTTCCTTTCCATTGCCATGATGAAGTTGCTATTTTAAACCGAATAGAACGCATGCCTTGGACAGCGTTGAGAATATTACTGGCAAGGCTATATCGTCGGCCCGATCGCTCGATTTCGTCTCGTTTTCTTAGCGTATCATAAAATAGAATAATCAATGAGATATAGAAGAGTTCATTTTCCAGCGACTAACCCGGCCTTTGACAAGCGACACGTGAGGTTTGCTCAACCTTGAATAAACCTCAACAACCCCTTCAACCTTTGGCTTCGCTCATGCCCGCATGGCTATCTCGGTTGCTTCGCACGATCATATACGTCATACATGAAGGAAGCGTATCATTATTCCTTGGGTAGTATTCGAGATTGATTGCGGCAGAAAAAAGAGAGAGAAAAGGTTCGTTAACATTTGCCCAATTAGAGAGAGAGAGAGAGAGAGAGAGAGAGAGAGAGAGAGAGAGAGAAAGAGAGAGAGAATACATATTCTACAAAACAGAACTTGCAATTGAATATGAAGGGACGCGAAAATTTTGCTCGCATAATAAGTGTTCAGGTCAGTTTGAAATCTACATGCGACATGTCATCAATTGGCCATCAATTGAATAGTATCGACACGCAATAGCTGATTCTTGAGATATAATGCATGCATTATCGCAATTTGTACTGCTTTTCTGACGCAATAAAGTTATATTGGCTGTGTTCCAAAATTGTTTGTCAACACTGCGAGCATGTCGTCATAAGTGCATGCTACCAATAGTGTTCCAATTTCATAAGCATGCTTTTTATGCAAACGCAGCTTTCATTTTGGAACGATATTTTCAGTGCTGTCAGCATATAGCGACGTCAGCGAAAAGAAACAAGTAACCTAGAAATATGGAGAGAAGCATACAGAAAAAATTCGTATTTGAAACTATTATAAAGTTAGCACTTGATTCTAGTGATGAAGAGTCTAGTGATTCAGATTCAGAATTAGCGGAAATTATATATAATTATTGCGAACGTCAACCAAGAATATCGAAGGTACAAATAAATGGAAACCAATTTGCTCGAAGCACAAAGATCGTAATAGTAACCCCGGATCTACAATAGATTTTTAAGCTTTAAGCCATAAAAAAATGGACGAATCACAATCAATTATTCTCCTCACATTTGACTGTAGTTGGTCAATTTCTTACGGCTTAAGGCTTAAAACACCTATTATAGATCCGGACTAATGAGGAAGTTAAGGAAGTTAAGGAAACGGTATATACCATTGATGTTTCGAGGATAGTCAAAAACCAGTTTTTCATAGATGAAATCAGATTTGTAGATTGTTAAACAAAATTTTATGCAAAGCTAAATGATTGTATTGAGAAATAATGTACATATTTTGTTAACGCCTATTGTATGTGAATAAAATAAATTTACTTTTTGATTTCCTCTTGTACATAGGTTATGTCAATTTTTGTATTTGAATTCGAAATAAGAATAAATAAGTGTGACTACAAAAAGCAGACTACAAAAAAATTATAAATCTACTCACTACTTCTTGCTTTCTTAAGGTATATCCACACAAACTTGCATAGCCGCATAAACGTATGCATAAAGAAAATTATCCAATCACATTTTATGTACGACTTTAAAAGAGAACTGCAATTTGATAATTTTCTTTATGTATATGTTTATGTGGCTATGCAAGTTTGTGTGGATATACCCTTAGCATCTTCTACAGAAACACTGAGTTTATACTCAGTGTTACTCTTAGCATCGATTAAAATTAACTCCTCCATCTTTTCCGCCATCTTGTGCTGTAGCTGCCTCACCTCGACAACCGCAGCAGTCGCAGTAGGAAATGACAACAACATTAATGACGTATTTACCCTCTCGCAGCACTGCCACAGCGTGCTACGATGATTTTTGGAACGGTGTTGGCAGTACTGCCAGCGCTGACAAACAATTTTGGAACACAGCCATTGTTCACCCGTTGGAGACGAGCTCTGTAGCGTCAGTAGAGAACGATCGATGCAGCTACTGGCATGATACAGCTACCCCCAGAACCTGCGTTCTCACCCCTCTCTTGAAGTCTTTCGCATCTCTCTCTCTCCCTCTCTCCCCCCTCCCACTCTCCCCTTCTGTCACCCTCTCGCTCTCTACCTCTTCCCCCCCTCTCTTTTTCCCTCTCTGTGCATGTGTATGTTTCCTTTTAACTTTATTTCACATAATACCAAACTAAACGCTTTTCGAAGTTTAGTCTGCAATCTAGCGTTAATAATTTACACTTATTTTACGCTGCTTCTTTATAGCGTTTTGTCCCAATTCATTTTAGTACGATTCATACTGATAATTTTACATTGGTAAGTTTCAAATCCATCTTAAGTGATTTGCAATTTATGTCCAAATTTATAATAGAATTTGATTATTATATATATATATATATAGCGATCCATGTTTTTTGAGAATATATACTATATACATGTATGTGTGTGTGTGCGTGTGTGTGCGCGCGCGCGCGCGCGCGTGTGTGTGTGTAAAATTTTGAAGTTCAAAATTCATCAATTTGTATGTTGTTTTTACCGACTACTATATTATAATATTCTGCAAAAAGCACATGACGAACTTTATTGATTGTGAGAAATCGTACAAAGATCATGAGTTTCATTACTTTACCTAATTTAAGGTAAAATATCGAAAAGTACGTCAAAAAGTGCGTAAAAAAGAACAAATGAGAAAATGTATGCATACAAAATACGTGCGAGTCAAATTTTTCACGGCATATTGACAGAGAAGGTTCACGTACAGTTTAAAGCCAAATATTTTCAAGAATGTACCTTCTCATCTGCGAGTATAATCTATTAAATAATTCAAAACGGCCAAAAAAACGAAAACGCAACAAAGCAACAGAAGCAAGTGACAAAAATGAAAAAATACCGGATTGTGGATACATTGGAACGCGAATCATATCCAGCGAGCAGTGGATAATCGCCTCACTTACCCTTGGCATTTAACCTTGCTTTTCGCGTAGTAGAACGCGTGAAGCGGGAGATCCGAAAGGACGATTATCGATGAGTCAGACGAAATGCATGCGGTTTATCAGCGCGGCGATCCCGACAGCACGTACGACGATAAAGTCCATGAAATACGATCAGGGTACAGGGTACAGGAGTCTACGAAGGTCCTTCTCCAGAAGAGCGAAGTCCGAATGACCGGATTCACTCGTGACACGGCGAGGACTCAGCTGTATCGCCGGGATCGGTGTCGGGGTCGGGGTCGGGTATCAGTTCGTCGTCGGGGCGTGCGCCCTTTGCACGAAATCAAATATCGCCCTCGCCCTGATACGTTCGTAATATGGCGCAGAGGAAAATAACTGATTGTATGAAGAGTCAACGCTAAGATAAACTGGGCTCAAGGATGGTTAACTTGGTCAAGAGGAGGTCAGATACAGCATTAATCAATACATTAATTTCTTTGTTAATCTTCGACGAGGAAACAATTTGATCGTCCTGCGGTCTCCTCTATTCATCTGGCGCGTATTCGCCGTGTGAATCTGTGGACGCAACTCTCGCGCATGTCATCCCCATTGTCGTACTGAAAATAGTACTCAGCGCGGGCGCAACTCTCTCGCCCCACCCTTTCCCTCCCTCCATCCATCCTCTCTCTTCCTTTTTTGCTTGCATAATTATAATTGTAATTAAATTAAATTATATTATATTGTATTATATGCTTTCAATTAATATGTAGAGGAAAGTCGCCGATACTGTCACTTTAGGTCTCCTAAAGTGACACCCCCTTATTTCTCAGAAACCAACTATTGCACTTTTTACTATTAATACTAATAAAATCATGATCTGTTTAGCTAATTAAAGAAGTACAAACTCATAATTCATATATTTGTGGTTTATTTCTATACCAAATCAGCTAAAAACCAATTCTATGAATCCGAGAAGAAAATTCTTACGGTTCCTTTGCAAATTGCGTAATTAAAATAATAGTGACTGTATTATTGATAATATTATGTTATTTTAAATGTTTATTGTCTCATAAATTAGTTTTCTTTACAGAATAGGATATATCTTTATTTATAGAATAGGAATGTTGGTATTATTGCCTACTATGTCAGTTTTGGAGCCCATTTTTTATCAGACGCTCATTTTTGCATAACTTACGAAAAATTTAATTATTGCAAAATTGCAAACAGTGTTATAAAAATTGCTTATACTATATGATAGAAGACACTTTTTACTTTGTATTTATGTTTTTGAAGTTTTATTTTTACCTTTTGTTTAAGAAATATTGTCTAAAAACAAAGTGGTATGTCGGTATCGGTGACCTTCCTCTACTCTTTAATTTAACTGTTCTTTTAACGCTTGAAAGCCATTCTAGAGCTTATAATAAATTAAACTCTAATTTAGCTGCATCTCTCTCTCTCTCTCTCTCTGTCTCCCCCCTCCCCTCTCTCTCTCTATCTCTGCAACGAAATTTGAATCACGCCGCGATGCAGAGACCAAAGACGATCAGCGATCTTTGATTGTTACTTGTACTCTATCTCAGACGTGTTGATTTGTCGTGGGAACGATCTGAGTGACAAGATTGTCGTGGTGAGTATAAAGTGGATAGATTTAGCGTTTTCTAAAATAAATAAATCTATGATTACGTCATCCGATTTACAAAAAAATGGTCGCAATTTTGTAGATAATCGGAATGTACGTATGCAAAGTCTATTTTCAGGCAAAACGAAACATTGTGCTAAACTTTCCATGACGGCCATCAATGCCACCATCACTACCGACGTTAAACTGTCGCGATGTAAGAATCAACCGTGGGGCTTTCGACTCTCCGGAGGTGTGGACTTTACTTTTCCTTTGACCGTCGTCAGAGTAAGGTACAATATGTTAATGTTTGCATTTTATGATTATAGATACTCAACAACACAAATTACTTACGAATATAAATTAGTGTCAGACGATTGAGAGCAAAAATAGGCGCAGTCCCTGCAGTGACTGCGCCTATTTTTGCTCTCAATCGTCTGACTGCGACTATTGTTGCTCTCAATCGCCTGTCACTAATTTATATTCATTTGTTATCTTAAGAGCTCAATTTATTTCATTATTTATATATTTTCAAATTACTTATGATTCTTCTTTTTCGATGTATTCCTTAATAAAGCATAAGTAAAATGTAAACGTCTAAGGCCAGTATCAGATTACGCATTAACGGTTGAGATTATAAGATTGAAATTTGATTAATTATTAAAACCAAAGAAGTTAAAATTTCTTCGTCTGTATTCGTCAAATTTCACAATTTTTAATCTTCATTCTCAATCTTTAATGCATAGTCTGATTTCAGCTTAATCACGTTAATTGCGAGAAACATTTGAGTAATAATTTTCGAATAAAGTGATATTAAAATTATCTATGTTTCTGTTTCCATTTTCTTATTAAGCACGTTTGTTCGACAAGGTGACGATCGGAGGCTTGGTCCCTATAGCTGGTTTGTAAGCGGGCGACGTAGTGATCCGCGTGAATGGAGAGCCAATAAGTCAACTCACACATATGCAAGTCTATAATAAGCTTGTCAACGTCGGCAATGATATCGTTTTATCCGTTGTGCAAAGTCACGAGATCGTGCAACAGAAGTAATAATGGTTTCCCCTTGCCATTGACTTATTTTTTTACGAGCTTAAATCCATTTCGTTATGTCGATGACATGTTAATTGTGTTACCTCACAACTGTGTAGACGAGGTTTTAAAGCGTTTTAATTCTTATCATAATAGAATAAGATTTACGTTGGATGAAGGTAAAGATGATTGTGTAAACTTTTTAGATGTCACAGCTATTGTGAAACATGAACATATAAGGTTTGATAATTACAAAAAACCGACGAATTCTGGTCGCTATTTAAATTATAAATCGAGTCACCCGGACCAGCATAAAAGAGGAGTAATAATTGGCTTATTGAATAGAATACTGTTCTTGTCGCATCCTGATTATCATGAAAATAATATTAAAGAATTAATTAATATTTTACTTATGAATGGTTATCCGTTACACATTATATTTTCCATGATTAATTGTAGATTGAAAAAACTATCAAAAAGAAATAATTTATATGTTAATGACATAAGAAAAATAATTTTGTGGATGAGACCTTTGCAATTAATAATTATTTTACAATTCCATATGTAAAGAACATATCAGAAAAATTTATTACTATAGCAGATAAAATTAATCAGAAAGTGGCGTACAAACCCATGAATAATTTAACAACGGTGATTAAGTTAGGTAAGGATAATTTACACAAGATGGAATTTTCAAACGTTGTTTATAAAATTGAATGTTTAAATTGTGATGCATCATACGTGGGTCAGACAAAAAGGAAAATGGGTACTCGAATCAATGAACATAAATCGGATGTAAAAAAACAAAAAAGATCTTCGTCAGTATTAGCAGAACACCAGATGAATAGTGAACATGATATTGAGATTGGGATAATGTTCAAATCTTGGACAAAGAACCTTATATGTACAAACGACTCACATCAGAAATGATTCATATAAAAAAACAAAAAAATGGTGTAAATAAGCAAACAGACACTGAAAGGTTTCCAGAATCATACTTTCCACTTTTATAAGTCTTCTTTCCATAGAAGCAAAATTTAACGCAATATGTGAGGATAATATCATCGCTTATTTCAGTATTGTCCGTGTCGTCGAGTGTTGATGATGTGTGTTTTGTTTTCTCGACCGTTGTAATATTATTATTAGGACGTGATTTCTTGCTGTGCTACTAATGTCTTGATTAAATAATTTAACGGAGGTAATCTTATTAATATTTCTTGTTTTTATAATTGACATTTTGCTTTAATTTAATTTTATTATTGTTAACTAGAGTCATTAAGTTTTATTTTAATTTATTACGTTGACTAGAATCAGGAAGTTTTTTGGTTCAATTATTGACATCTGGGATTGGTGGTTCAGCAATGTACGTACTGATGACATTAAAGATGTTTAAAGGTATAATATTATATTATAGTTATATAACACATTGTTAACGTTAACTGAGTTTCTTTTTCTCGTTGTTATTAGAGAGGAAGCTGTTATCTCAGTCGCGAGGAAATTTCCAATGTAGATCAAAACATAGTACATGTAGCGCGGACATTATAATCATGGCATGATTCGACGATCGAATTTGGTATAGGATTAATTGTTAGAATGTAAAATCATACGTAAGGAAATGTATATAATTGTAATATCGAACAAAGCGAATATATGTTGTGAGATAGGTTAGATTATGTATGGAAGTATTGTTGTAAGTCTGTTTTATGCATTATTGGTTGAATATTAGAGAATGGTCTGATGACAGACCGAAACGTTTATTTATCAGTAATTATTTATCAGTAAGATGAGTGAAATATAAATAATTTTTTAATAAGAATTCGCTATTTCAATCCTGCGCACGTGGAAAAAGCCATCTAAAACCGAATTTTATCTTTTAAATCCAATGCTTCGACAATAGTGCGTAAATAAAAGTAAAAAGACTGGTGCATGTGGTATCGCGATGCGAAAATGAGACATACTGTAAACGGAATAAATAAAATAAAATTGACGGAAAATACCGACAAGGCGAGATTTTTAAGCCGTACGTGTTTAAGTTTATAATACGCTTTGGCCCGACCTTTCAGGCATCTGGTATGCATTAAGTCGCAACGATTAAGGCCTTAGGACGACATGACCAAGTTATACAATGTTGCGAAATTATATCGGCAATTGATTCACGTGATCGAGCGCAATTAATCAATTATCGATCGAAAGGTGCGTTTCAAGCCATCATTTTTAATCTCAAAGTGATCTGCAATTAAATTCTTTCTCCTTCCAATAATATATGATTAGAAAATACGATCGCGGACGAATGAGAATGAATTTAAAGAAACGCAATGAAACATGTTATATACATTCATATTATAATTTATTTTTATTGTAATATATTAGATATTGTTTATTATATATATTTATATATATATATATGTATATACATAGGATGTCGCAATTTTTTAACAAGCGCTTTTGTGCAGACAGAGCGGACTAAACTGAGTCAAAAAGTCCTCTACCATTTTGTTTAACGAGATATTATATTAAAGTAAGTCGGGGGAATACGCCACACTTAAGCAAAATTAGATTTTTTGGTAATTATTCGTTCAAATTAAAATAACTTTACATACTGATCTTTTTCTTCCATTTTTTATCTATTATTTGTGTATAATTGGAATCGAATACATTCATTTTTTGTTACTAAAAATAAAGAAATACCATAGTGCCGAAAAATGAGTAATATGCCACCACGGGGATAATATACCACATACAAAAAAATACAACATTTATTTTGTTTTTTTTTATTGCAAAAATACATTATTAATGATTTTTGTGATGAAAATAAACATTTGTAACATAATATAGGTAATATAAACAATATAAGGATATAAGTAATAACTTCGATAGATTAAGTTACACAACATGTAAAATAAACTTTGAGACACATTTTTAATAGCATAAATATATCTTTCTACGAACAGTCCTCGTGAATCCATCTACTGCAACAATTAGATATTATCCAATTACATTTTGGGCCATTTTTAAAAGTAAAAGTATGTAATGTGTAAGTATGGAACGTATAAATAAATATTTGTTTTACTTTATATTTACATAGTGTTACAAGTAGTCTAAGTTCCAGTAATCAAGAAAATTCTATTCATTAAAATAGATTAAAAAATTGTATTCTCTATTCAGAATTTTGAATTGAGCAGTAAATTAATATAATACAATAATAAGCAAATAAATAAACATTTAAGTTTATTTATTAAGTATTTGTCAATACAAATATCTTGTCACAACGGAATGATACGGCAAAATGTTTGGTTATAACGCCCGATGTACTGAATATTTTCATTTTAACCTGCACTAATAGATTAACAAGCTAATCGAGCTAAATATTGTGTAATGTTTAAATAATAACTTACATAAAGTACTATAAAAGTTATAAAAAGTACATTTTCGTATACCATGCCGTCATATTTACCTCATAAAAACATTAATGTTGCGAGGAAATTCTTGATACTTATGCAACACGTTAAGCACAAAATTGTAAATAATTCTGTGTCATTAACGCAAGCGCTGCTAATCGGTGTCATTGTTAAACACAACGAGTGGCATATTCCTCAACTGGCGTATTCCCCGAGTTACCCTACTAAAAATTGCCGAATATTGGTCTTTTATAATTTTTACTCGAATGCTATCAACTTTACAGAAAAACAGCAAAAGACGGAAACTGTTTATTTTTTCTCATAAAGCTCTAAAAATTTTTCCAAAATTTTTTATCAATTTTTTCATACTACATTTTCTTATATTGACAACTGTTTTACCAATATGAACAAATACAGTATTAAAAAATTCTGAAAAAAATTTCAGAACTTTATGAGAAGGAAATAAGCAATTTTTGTCTCTTACTGTTTTTCTATAAAGTTGATAGTACTTGATTAAAAAATTATTGAAGATCCAGCCATTTGTCGTAATTAATACTCTATTAACTATTGCGAAAATTGCAAAATGTGATAGAGGATTTTTCGACTCAGTTTAGTCCACTCTAAAACATTTGACAAAAAATTACGGGGCCCTTTGTATATACGTATACACAGAGTGTCCAAAAAGTTCCGGGATGGCCAAAAAACTCCTCAGAAAAGCGTTATCGAGAAAAATGTTAAATACAAAAGTTTTAAGGTTCAAAAAGATCTATTTACTGATCTTATAAGTTTGACCTTGAGTAGCATTGCCAAGGTCAGGTCAAGGTCACATCGATATTTTTAAATAGAAACACCCTACTTTTGATTTCTGAATCTAATAGCTAGTGTCGAGAGCTTTTTAAAATGCTATAATAAAGTTATTTTTAAGTATCCGACCAACGGCTAAAACCTCTTAAATAGTGTTCAGGATCAGATTCATTTGTTAAGATCGAGGCCAATGGAGATTACTCTCTTATTTTCGTTTTTGTACTAAAAATTCATAACACTTTCCTGAGAAGTTATTTGGCCATGTCGGAACTTTTTGGATACTCTGTCTGTGTGTGTGTGTGTGTGTGTGTGTGTGTGTGTGTGCGCGTGTGCGTGCGTGTGCGTGTGTGTGTGTGTGCGTGCGCGCGCGCGCGCGTGTGTGTGTGTGTGTGTGTGTGTGTGTGTGTGTGTGTGTGTGGAGGAAATGTCCCTATTATGAGAATCAAGTTCAATTTGGGTAAATGCTAAAAGTCTATGGACAGAATTTAAAAAAATAATAGGTCATTTGGAAGGAAATTTAATAAGCTGTAAGATAATATTATATAAAATTTAATTTAAATTTCATTTTTTTTTAAATTAAAGAAATGTAAAAAATGAACAAATCGCAAAGTCAAAAAAAATTGTACTCCTAATATGAGACGCTTCGAGAAATCGATAGTAAAACGCAAAATATATCAGTATTGCAATCAAAAAACTTCATTTAATGTTTCTAAAATACAAACAAACACAACCAGCATCGCAGAAATAGGCACTCGACGATCATTCCGTTGTTCTTTTCATTATTGTAAACTTTTTATTATTGTAATAATATTTATACTTTAGCAACGATTTTCACTATCACATAGGAGCATAGGTTATCTC